CCCCCCCACAACTCCTTCTGTAGTCCCTCTATCTCTATCTCACCACTGACTCTGATCAGTGTTTCTCCTCTGTATAGCTTATTGTCATAGTGATGAGAAATGTAATATTGTTTTTTAATCTGTAAGTCACTTTGGATAAAAGCGTCTGCCAAATGCACAAACATAAACATAAACATAAACATAAGTGCGTCTGACAGATTGGAGCTCCGTGTTTGCAGGTTTGGATCCGGACCGGAAGTCTCGCGTGGCCTCTGGCAGCTGTTTGAGCCTCAGAGGAGAAGTCTCTGACCAGGATCAGCCCCGGTGCTCAGCCCCGGTGCTCAGCCCCCGGTTACCGGGCTCCGGTGCGTGGGAGCAGGGCCTCTGCTGCCCCCTGGCGGCGGTGGGCGGTAGGACGGTCAGCGGCAGCCACAGGTCTCACTTCCTGACCCGTTTAAATAACCGAGCTGACATTTAACACAAAAGAACTGATGTTTTTTCAGTGTTAAATACCAGCAGCCAAATATAGCCGGCAACAGTCTGCCTGTGAGGCCGAAAGTCTCCATATGAGGTCAGGTTTTATTTCTCATGTCCAGCAGAAGAATGTGGCCGACTCCAGGTCCAGTCAGGAGCCTTTGGATCCAGATGTGAAGCTGTGGACTGACTGGTTCCTCACAGGCTTATTAAAGGAGGACATCACCTCATATTACAGAGTCACATTGGACTAAAACATGGTAAATAAACAACAATATGATTTTAAAATATGGTCAGTTCACCCCCCAGTATTTCTTTTGACCCCCTTTGACTTAAATTTAAATGTTGGACCAACCCAGTTTGTTACTGATATATTTGTAAAAATCTGCTGTCAGAAGCCCAAATAAAAAAGTCATAATTTGGAATTTAAAATAAGATTAATGAAACAGCTCCTCTTATGAATCATACAATCATGCATGGGCAAAAAAAGTTTAATACCCGTGGTTCAAATATTCCTGTTTGAAAAGATAGTGTGTGTTTTTAAACCAGTGGCTTTGATCATCTTATAAAGGAGCCGTTTCAGCATCTTTGTCAAACCGTTTTATTTGATCATTTTAAGTGTCATACACAATACAAATATAGTACATAAGACAGTAAATGAGTGGCACAAAACCAGCTACAATGAATCGGCTGATCTAGAATTGAGTAGAAATGTTAGTTTGATGTTCCCTTAAAAAGAAATAAGAAATGTCCATGTGAGAGGCGACTTTTTCCAGGTATCTCTGGGCTGCCAACTGAAGGTTGGATGTGTGGATGTGAAGGTTGGACTGTTTTGGTTCGATGGACCTTGGATGTCAAGAAAGATATAGTTTTCCCTCCATGGGGATCCACTGGTGACCTCCCGCTTTGGGTCTCCTCACACACCGGTCCATCCTCAGATGTGAGGAAGTCCTTCTAAATGTTGCCAAATTCAGATTAGGTCAAATGATAACGACTTTTGGAAATCTCTGCCCCCAGAGAAAGAGCCACTCAGAAGTCCACTCTGGAACAGCTCAACTCCACTAACGGCCTCACATGTGTTGCAGGACTCGGTAATGGGAGCGGACAGAGGACAGAGGAGTGCAGCCGGCCTGCAGGAGCTGGCTATCAGGGATATCTCATCTGGTAATCCGCCCCCGGCTGCATCTCACTACAATCAGACGAGAGCATCAGCTGTCACACGTTACTGAACCCTCCCAACGTCCACTCAGCTGACAGGGTGCAAACAGGTTTCTCTAAAAGTTTCAAAAAGCCCGGTCACAAAAAGTCTTTAGGTCCTTTTTAAGTCCACAAAGAACAGAACAGCTAAGCAGGTACAGGTACAGTAAAAGGCTCCTCCTGGTCCTTGGCTGAAGAGCTCAGGCTGAGCTTTTGTGCTCCCGCCTTAAAGCCTCAGCATGGACTCACAGCCTCACGTTGAATCAATCGGTGTAGAAATAAAGTACAAACCAGCCTGAGCTCAAAGATCGAGTTTGGCTGAATGTGAGCGCTTTGTTCTACAAGCAAAATGACTTTACACATGTACACACGTTTTCTGGAAAAAGGTATCCGAGACGAGAAGATGCTCTGAATATGTTTCAAGTCAGCATTAGACTTTG